TATCCCGAAATTCAGTAAAAATTAATATATGATGATCAAATTTTATTCTACGTTAGAGAAATTTTATCCTGATAAAAATAAAAATTACTGTGCCGGTAGAGTAAAATTTACTGTACCGGTGGGATAAAATTTACCAAACGTTCTAGAATATTCGTTGTTATCTACATAAAAATTATTGGACTGGAAGAGTAAAATTTATTATGCGTCAGGATGAAATTTCTCTAACGTAGAATAAAATTTGATCATCATATATTAATTTTTACTAAATTTCGGGATAGAAATGAGGAAACGGTGACTCATGATACAATTTTATAGAACGGTAGGATAATTTTTATCAAAAATTTCTCTCCGTGTAAGAGATCTCAAAATTGACTGAACGCTGAGCCATTCGGAGAATTCCGTTTGAAAATAGTAGGTGTACGATATAAATGTACTGTTATGCGCGTACAGTTATACTATGACGTATACACTGGTGAAACGGCATTGGAGGCGCCAGAACCAATGCCAATTGATTCACTTACATCTTCCACGAATGCCAAATGTAATTCTTTCTTAACGAATCAATTTTTTTCCATTCGAGTGTAAGTACACTTTCTTTATATTTTGGTTGTACTGCAGTTTAGCCTCTGAATGTTAAAATCGTGCATTTTCTATTTTATTGATTATAATTCAGTAGCGAAGCGGTAAAATGGTCTCAGTCGTTTTAGGCCTCAGCTGAGTTTTTGAGGAATGTCTCCGAATCTAAGGGAGATAATGAAATTTTTGCGAAAACCTTTTTTGTGGAGCGAATTGAGGGTTACAAAAAAGGTCTTAACAAAAAAAATTCTATCTGTTTTAGATTACGCGATATTCATTGAAAACTGGACAATAACGCTTCGTTACTGAATTCTGAGATCCTTATATTTGATATTATAACTTACTTTTATTCTTTCATTATATCCAAGAGTTGACTATTCCATCGGATGGTTTTTACTTATAAAGATTCCATATTATTTAAACATTTCCGAATGTGAAAATTTGAGACTTTTCTTGAATTTCTTTTTAAGCTGTAGAAGGTTCCAGAAGTTTCCATGTTGCATGTCGCAGTATGCAAAACCGTAAATTTTTTTAAATTTTCATAGAAGACTCACGAATTTTTACTAATTTTTCAGAAGACCCTGGAGTTTTGTAAAATGTGAAAATCCTTATTTGATTTGAAACAATTTTTTCATAGAAATCTGATTGTGTTCGTTCATTTGACACTGCTGACTTTTTTTTTCATGTCTTTGTATTTTTCAACAATTTCTGCTTCCCAGTAAGAACCTAACAAAACTTTTTCTTGAGCAATTTTTTTACAAAAACATTCGTTTTTTTTTTGTTTAGGAAGATTTTATTATTTTTTTCAAAATAAGCAAGCAATCGCTTTTATATCCCGTACATTTTCTTATTTTCAATTCTATTCGGTTCACTTATTTTTCTGTCTGTACCGCTTCTCACAATTTCTCGTCTGGGAATTGGTATTGCATACTTCCCAAACTCGAAAACTTGAAAACCACTACAAAAAAATCTCATTCCGGGCTGCTGCGATGGGGTTTTTTTACGCGTGCGGTTGGCCAGTCCTCGCCTTCGGCTCGGACGCCAACGCCACATGAATGAAAAACCCCATCGCAGCAGCCCGGAAAAATGCTTTTCCCACGATAGATCATCTTTACAATTAACAATCGAAGCAAAACAAATAGTTCTACTCCACAGTCATCATTTCCACCACCTTTTAATTACTTATTCAAGATTGTCCGACTTACTTGGCTTCTTCGAGAATTTATTAATGCGCGGAACTTAATTGAAAATGATCTATGGAATTTATCATTCATGCACCAAATTAAATTTGTAAATTCCGGGACTCCCCCCTTGGTGCGTGTGATCGTACTGCACTGCTACCAACCCCGTAACAAAAAAATCATAGAGATAATGTGAAATTCGAGAATATGCATATGAACAGTTGCTATATGCTCGTATTTTTTTAAATATTGCTTCGAACAAAAAAATAGTTACATCAATCAGAAACTTGTGGCACATTTATATAATGTAATTAATATCATTGTTCATGTGGCTCGTCACGTTTGCATTTTATTTAATGGATATGAATCGGAGGTAGTGGATGGGCGAGTTGCTTCGTGGATAGATGCACGGCAGTGATCGTCCTGATAATGTAAATAAGAGTATTTTTCATGTAGCTCGTCACGTATGCATTTTATTCAATGGATATGATTCGGCGGTAGTGGAGGGGGGAGTTGCTTCGTGCATAGATACACGGCAGCGATCGGCTTGATGTTTTCTACAGTCGGAGTCAAAACTTTTATTTGGCCGATGCGCTACCGCGTAGCTCGATTTTTCGGCAGAACGAATTTTTTCTCTCAGTGTAGTAGTTTGAACTCTGCGTTGATACGTTACCCATTTCCCATTCTTCACGAAAATGCTTTCTTCTTCATACATAGGATAATTGAAGAGTTGTTATTACGAACCGGGATGATGGTAAATCTCTTAACCTGTACACTGTTAGAAAAAAAAATGAAATTTCATGGACAGTTGACTATTAATTTTTAGGACAGTGACACTGAATGTGATTTAGGAGAAAAAAAATCATGAAATTTCAGGTCAAGAAATCAGGTTTATGAAAATTCAGTAAAATTCCAAAATTTTAAGCAGCTAAAGACAAGCATTCCTCAATTTACTTGAATGTCCAATCTAATGCGAATATTCAGTGCCAAATTACATTGAATTTTCAGTGAAATCTGAAATTTCATGATTTTTTTTCCCCCTAAATCGCATTTAGTGTCACTGTGCTGAAAATTCCAGAATATATTTAACGAAATTCTCTAGTTTTCTATGTATTTTCAGCGAAAAATGGAACTGAAATTTACAGTTCTCTTTCATTTTTCCATGAAATTATGAATTTTCAATGACGAAATTTCTTGAAATTTCAGTGGGAAATTAAATTCGATAATAATTTCGAAAAAGTGTGCTAGAAATTTCAGACAAAAATTTTTAACAGTGTATTCTGATGAGTACACAACTCTAGATGAAGTTTACACATCACCCCCATATACCGAACTCTGCACATCAACAAGTGATGAACATCAATAAAGTACAGTTCAAGTGCCAGCATACTTTCTTTTATTAATTAAAAACATAACATTGTTATTTTCATAATTAGCATGACAAACACTCATTCTTCATCTTGTTTATGAAACTGAAGCATTAAATGCAGAATCTATATGGTTGCATTGGGATCGACATCGAGCTTGAGATAGATCGAAATATCCTTGAAGAACATGTTGGGCCCTTGGAAGTGCGGCCAATAGATTGGCCTATCCAGAGGGAAGCCCATGGGTTTATGATCGTACTCGTAATACCCAAACACTCGGGATTTGTACATGATAGGCTTGGTCACTGGGCTGACGTAGGCAAATAGCTGATAAGCAGCGCCAGAACGCCGGCCCTTGGGCAGAAGTAGACGCTCGGGGAAGCCGTACAAACTCTCTTTGTAAACGAACTTTTCGGTTCCTTCGAGGGCCTTTTCGATTCTCTTGTAGATTATCTCAGTGGGATCGCGATCCGCCATGGCGAAGAAGAAGTCGTGGCTGACTCGTTCCAGTTTGTTTATACCGGCATTGACTGAAAGAAACGAAAAACAATAATTTTAGAGACAATTGAGGAGGGATCACGCCGCTTTTTTCAAGTACCGCAAGTATTTGATGGGAAATTTCGGCAAATTTTTCTTTCAATTTCATTTTTTATGTTTAAAAAAGTGTTGGCATGAAACATCGTGGAATTTTCATTTTTCAGTAACACTAATTTTTTATTTAACAGAAGGAATTGAGTAATTTTGAATTCCACAAAAAAAAATTCGTTGAAAAATATTAAAAATTGTTGGACTCGTCGGGTTTTTACGAGTTGAAAAAATCGAAAAATGTCAATTTTCGATGAGAAATTGAAAAAAATGATTCGATGGATATTTTCATCACAAGAAGGTGAACCCATTAAATGAATTAAATTGTTATTAAATTAATTAATTAATTATTAAATTATTCAAATTATATCCTGAACTTTCTTAGTTTGATCACCTTGCTTCCAAAATCATCATCAATGAAAAATCAAATTATCAAATTACCATCAGTAACCCAGTAATCAAGTTCATAGAACGACTGGTAGCTCTCGCTAAAGTCCAGGGGATTGTACTGCGCATCATATTTGGGCCCCAGAAACAGTTGAATGGCGACTTTCTGCGCTTTATCTGAATTCAAACTGAAGTGTACAGTGAAGTGTTTGTTATTCAGTCTCTGCTGACGGACTTTGATCAAAAAGTTGTCGGCTTCCTGCTGACTAGAAATGGGAAGTCCATTGCTGATGGTAGCGTCAAATTCATCGAAGTAGGTGACTAGTTTGTCCACAGCTATTGATTCAAATTTCAAACCCGGGAAGACGATTTCATTCTTGGAGTATGGCTTCAGGTGAGCCTTGTATTTTTTGTAAAAGTGGACCAGGCGCTGATAGAAGCGGTAGAAAGCTGGATCTCTCAGGCAAGAGGAGAAGGATTCGAGCGCACTTGGTATGATCTGGTACGCAGTTTTGGGTTCGAGGTTGAACCCGAGGACTCTTCTTCCAAATACATCGAGATTACCGTAGTAATCTTTGTTGCAACTGTCCATATTACCCTCGATTATGTTTCCAAGGAGATTCAGACCTTCTGGAGTGTAAATTTTATGCTGAGTACCGTCGGCATCAATTATGTAGCCCAAGTCAAGAGCGGCTGATATTCTCGATTCAATGTCGTGGATACGCTAAATAAAAATGTGCGTGATAAAAGCAGGATGGTAATGGAATGGGTGGATGTATCATAAATAAATTTTGTCGAGAGATACAGAGAAATAACGGAGGAAAAAGGTTCGTTGGATGGGCTCAATAATTGTATCTCTGGAAGTACACCCAAAACAATGTACCTTTCAGATTTCAAAGGTCTTAACCCCTCACGTACGGTATCGATACTATGTATCGACCCGTAAACTTGTCCTATCCGGGGTCAATGCATGGTATTGGCCCTTTCCGTCAACAGTCAAAAATCATTTTCTTGAATTCTAAGAGACATATTGACATTTGGAAAAGGTATTTGGAAAGTCAATGGAATTGTCTCTGCAGTGAACTATTTTTTTTTTCAATGCATTTATAATATTTTTTTCTATGAACCAAAGTTGCAGATGAAAATTTTACATCCAACCGATTCAATCATATTAAATCATCTCGTTTATCGACAAAATTTTCACCCAAATTTTTGAAATTTTTACTGAAAATACTTCAATGATCCTTCTATCGAATGGCAGAAGTTAAATTTCGATTTGTTGAATAATTTCTTTGTTATAAATAAATTTAGCATGTTCAAAGATCTCGGCAACCAGGTGTCGGCAAACATTGAAACTGGTGTCAAAAATTAGGAAACTCTCTAGGAATTTATTTCAAAGTTCAATATGGCCAATGCATTTTATTTCAATTTTTTTCGTTCGACTGTTTTCAAGTTATCGTTCATTGAATAACGCAGTTGACGCGCCGTAAGTCTCCCGGCCGTTGGGACAACCCGCGTTATATGGGCGCCGTACATGAGGGGTTAAAGTAAGATTTGCAAAAGTTGCAATTTGAAACCTGAGTCTCAATTGGAGACTTGCAGATGTCAATTTATGCCTTCTGAATCTCTCAAGTTTGGACTTTGGAAGGTCTTAATTTGAGACTTAGAGTCTCAAGTTGAGACTTTTAAAGTTTTCAATCTTAGTAGATCAGTGCAAAGTTCAAACCTTTCTCACTGCGAAAACTAATGTCTGAATTTCAGACACTTTTATAGACACTTTTCAAACACTTTTGGGACGGTTTTGTAGACACTTTTGAGGCATTAAAATGTCTCTGAATCAATGGAGATATTTCAATTTCAGACATCAAGATGTCTGAAATTAAGACAATGCAGACATCAGTTTCAGACACTTTTAAAGATTCAGACGTTTTTTGCCATCTGCCATCTTAAATTCAGATGATTATCAGACACCTAGTTTTTGCAGTGAATGAGTCAACTTTTCAGACATGAGAAATATCTTAAAAATTAATGTTCGAATGGACTTTGCCGTCTGAATCAGGTGAGATATCATAATGGTGAAATATTTGAATCGATCATAAATAACTGAATTTCAGGCACAGAAAATATCTGAAAATAAATACCTGAAATTTTTCAGACACAAAAAATGTCTACCATCATTTTCAGACAGAAACGGTGGTTGAAATTTTCAGACATTAGTCAATTTTCAGACACTTTTGAAGATTCAGCCGTTTTTTACCATCTGACATCTTAAATTCAGATAGCTGTCGGACACCTAGTTTTTGTAGTTCGCATTTTCAAAAAATAAAGCTTTGATAAGTTGACGTACGTATAGAAACTTGTATTTGTACTCCGGGATTTTGCTGTACGACGGACGTTGCGGATACGGCAATCCATTGTGATAGACCATTGTTGGATAATACCCAGGGTAAAACTCTCCATCCCACATGAAGTTCTCGACCTTCGGCAAACCATTAGCCAATCGCTCCAGATTGTAGCGATTGAGCAGCTGCTTGTGTGCGTAAAGATACTCCTCACCCCGGTACTCTTTAGCCAGACCAAATTCCTCACTGCCTAGCCACCACGGATTATCCTGGCGGAGGAAGAAGTAGTAAGTGTTGAAACCTATGTCCTCAGTGAAGTACTTCAATTTCATTTCAGGATCATTGTCTCGATTCAAGTACCAGCCGGAGTAATTGGCACGGATAATGTACGAATTGCCTTCCACTGGAATTAAATCATTGCAAATTAAACATTAAACATTAATTGGTGCGTTTGGTGGGCCGGCTTACGGCGGCTCAATTCTTTTCAGGTTGCAATCGACATTGAGATGGACAAAATGTGTCACGCGCTTATTTTCATTTCTCTTAGCTGTAATAAAAGGGAGACCAATAAGAATATTCCTTATTGTTCACTGAAATTGTTCGATATTCAGTTCGAAATGTTGCGCGAAAATTTTTATCAATTATTCAATGTCTATTCCCGGAATAATGTGAATTGTATCAGAATGCGCATTTGATCCGATAAAATAAATCACACAAAATTAATTCAGTAGCGAAGCGGTAATCCGGGTTAAGTCAATTGTGACTATTGACCAGTTTTTGACGAATATCTCAGAATCTAAAAGAGAAAAAATTTTGTCATTACCTGTTTTATAACCCTCAATTGACCCTACGAGAAAGGTCATGAGAAAAATTTTGCCACCTCTTTTAGATTTCGAGATATTCATCAAAAACTGATCAAAAGTCAAAATCGACTTGACCCGGTTTACCGATTCGCTACTGAATTTAAAAATTCTCTTGCCAAAAACTACTGTATTGATTTGGAGTTTTTTATAACTTTTTAGAATCTTCGATGATTTTGTCAAGCGTTAGCTTCTGAATTAATCGCGAAATTCCTAAAAATTTCTAGAACATTCCCGAGTTTTCTGGAAAATTCAGGATCGGAAAATTGTAGAGTTTTTCAGAAGATTCATAAAGTGTCCAGAGGATGTTGTAGCATTCTGGATCTGTCTTCAACTTTCTAGAACCTTCCATTAATTTCTGAAGAAATTCCAATTCTTTTTCGTATTGAAATCGACTTTTAGGCGAAAGTTTTATGAATTTTTACTCTAATGTTAAGATAGCATCACGTAAAATTAATGTAAAAGTTCCCTCGCAGAAAACTGCTGTATCGGTCTGGACCTTTTTATAACCACACACGAAAAAATTTAATAGAAAAACCCAACGAATTCGTTGGAAAAATCTATTGGATTTCTAACGAACTTTCTATTAATTGAATAGAAAAGGCAAAAGAATTCGATTTTTCTGTACAACTTATTCTATTGAGATATTTTCTATAGAATTTCTTCGGCTCAAATTTTCTGATTTTTTTTCATTCCATTTTTCTGTTCTTCTCATCAAAAAAATCAAACAAAAAAACTTGAGAAATTCGACCCGAGGAAATTCTATTGAAAAATCCAACTTCATCTTTAATCTATCTTTCGAAATTCTCTTGAAAACATCTCAATGGAATAAGTTGTATAAAAAAATCGAAATCTTTTGACTTTTTCTATAGAATATTTTCTATTGAACATTTCAATAGAATCTGCCAAAAACTAATAAAAAGTTTAATAAAAATCCAATAGAATTGTCTTGCAAATTCGCTAAATTTTTCAATTAGATTTTTTCATCCGTTACTTCCTAAAACCTCCCACGATTTTCTGAAGCGTTAGCTCCTGAATTAATCGCGAAATTCCTATAGATTTCTAGAACATTCCCGAGTCTTCTGGAACATTCTGAATCGGCAAATTGTAGATTTTTTCAGACGATTCGCGAGCTTTGCAGATGATTCTGTACCGTTCCGGGCCTTTTTTTGAACCTTCTAGGACCTTCCGTGAATTTCCGAAGCAACGGATATCTCAAATTATATAGACTAATATTTCTCAACCCTGAGAAATTATGTCACTTCTAAATTTACCAAATTTATTATAAATCTTGGCGTTCTTAGCAGCCTCGATGATCTCGCTGTTGAAGAAGGCGTACGGATAAAACTCATAGGGCGGGGGTAGATGAATGAAAAGGGTCTCCGGTCGACGAATAACCGCCTGATAAAGTGCGCAGAGAAATTGACCCTCGTTAATGTTATTACGAGCCCACAGAGCTGTCTTATAGAAAGTGTCAAAATCTTTGGCGTAGTAGAAAAGCTTGAAGAGGGCTCTGGTCTCTTCCAGTTGTTTTCGATAGTAAAGGGAGAATAGTTCACCCCTTGGGAGGAGTCCAAATTTGTACAACTCTGTGAAGTAATTGACGACTTCCTGAAACAATAATTATTTTTAAAAAATTTCAAACGCTGACATGAAATTAAATATATTTACAGACTCCTTCATTAGGCCATTAGGTCATCATGGTATCCTCTGCCTATTAATTATTAGTATTGCTAATGGTGATCGCATAATAACCAAATGAAGGAGTTTATAAATAAAACAATAATCATCATTGAAGCTCCAATTGCACTTGTTCACGGACAAAAAAATTTAATAGGAAAATCCAGTGAAATCGTTAGAAAAATCTATTGAATTTCTATTATTGTTCACGGAGAGACATTTTTTAGAAAAATTCTAGTGCTAGCACGGGAAAAGAGGCGCAAAGTGACGGCCACGAAAAAATTCCAGTGTCGGCACTAGAAATTTTATTGGGAAAACGTGAATTTTTCCCCGTATTTCTGTGAAAATTTCACCGAAATCCCCAGAAATTTTACCAGAAATACTAAGAAATTTTACCTTAACAGCACTAAAATTTTTCACCGTCGGTGGATTGTGATTTTTTCCAGTACTCGTACTAGAATTTTTCTAGAAAATTTCTCTCTTTGATCGATTCTATTAAAAAGCTCAATAGAAAAGGTCAATAATATTCGATGTCTCTATATAACTTATTCTCTTCAGATATTTTCTATAGAATTTTTGCAGCTCAAATTTTCCAAGTTTTATTCCCTCCGAGGTAAATCGTTCAGATGTGAACTATAACATTTTAATCATTTTGACAGTCCCGAGAGTCTATCAAGAGTGAAATACAATTGAGTTATTATTTTAGTTAATAAAGAAAGTTATAGACACCAAGGAACAGTGATTTACTGAAGAATAAGGGAGAAAAATCCCATTCACATCAGCTAGTGCTATGGCAGAGTGAATTCTTCAGCCGCAAGTTAAGGGGAGACGGAATCCCTTTGCATGTCTACATCAAATCTTAGAATTGTGTTTTCTCCTACAATTATTAATTCCTATTTATGAAATTACTTTATCGACTCTATTATCGCATTGTTGAATATTTCAATATTTCACAGAAATTTCGGCAATTAAAAGAATGGGTACAATGGAAATGGCATTGATCCTATGCTCGTTTTGCAACCAACTGTCAACTGGTAACGAACGGATGAAAAAATCATTTAAAAGGTCGGACCGTTCAATTGAAATATAATTTTGTGGCTCGAGATATTTTTGAATGTTGTTTTATCCCAAATAGGATACTCGCGATGTACCCGAGTCGAGGATTTGGTTCTGATTGGACGTACACAGGTCTTTCAAGATCTCTCCAGACCTAGATGGACCTGGTAAGTCCTAATCAGTTCTGCGACGTACTTTTCCAGAGACCATTCGAATCCTCAGTTCTTTTCGGTCCTGAGAAGTCCTCCTCGATGCTACCGAGAACGCGTGATTTTACGAGCGGTTGAAGGGGAAGGCATGTATGCGGAGGGTTGAAATTGGTAGCCAACGAGGAGACAGGGTTGCAGAATATATTTTAGCCACCCTCATCTCCCCGT